AAGCAATGTGTTGCCAATAATAGCAACTTTATTCATATTCTTTTTTTAATATCTTTGGTTTCGATAATGCTTATATACCGCAGAGCTCTTCGGTTACATACCAATTATTTGCATATAACGTTGCATGTCTACCATTACAAGTTGTATTGCTTCACATCTTTTCATTACAAATGAAGTTTTATGTCGAGTATTGAGGTTTGCATGATATTAAATGCGTGGTTGGTTCACGTCACTGTGCCAGGTCCCGACGGAATGACATCGATTAATGGTAATTACTCCACGGCACTGGCATGAAGCGACGCACTTGGCACTTTAATTTGCCAGTTATCTGGAGGAATATCTTGGTTATCTTGAGGCAAATGGAGGATATTCTTGATGAATTTGAGGATATCAAGATTAACATCTAGATTTTCTTGAAGTAGTTTGGAGAAACATCACAATAATATCGAGATTATATTTGCGAAAATATTTATTATCTCGGGGTACATAACTGCAGGAACATCTTGATAATCGTGAGATTACCAAGAAGGAAATCTTGATAATGTTGAGGTTATCTGTAGAAACATCTTGATAATATTAACATTACCGGGATGAATATATTTATTTTCCTAATTTTTATTTTTGGTGAAAATCTGGATAATCTTGAGGTATCTGGAGGAACACAATGATTATCATACGGTTGAATGGGGAAAAATCTCGTTAATTTGGGGATTAATGGAGCCCTTGGGATACCTGGGAGGAACGCTCACGTAGAACAGACATTACTGATGTTTACGTAAATGTATTGTGCAGATCAATCTGAAGGGATTGGTTGGATATGATTGCCAAGTTACGCTTACATTCAAAAAAGATCCGCTCGCTAGCAAAGGCAACAAATCAGCGGGCAATACCATGAAAATAATTAAATAAATCAATGCAAGCCATAATAAAAAAATGTCTGTAAAAATACGATGAATGTAGCGAAGTGAGCAATAAGATGATAAATGATGCGATGCGATATGATGATAAATGACTCGATGCAATACGATAAATGTTTCGACACCAAACGGTGAGTAAGGCGGTAATAAATGGCGCGATGCAATACGACGATAACTGATGCGATGCAATAATATGAGCAGGGCAATGCCAAAGAAGAATGTCAAATCTTCATCAAGGTTGCCGATATTCGTGGCTAAAATTCCTTCATGGAAATTTATATATTTTAAAATATTAGACCATTTCGACCTACCTCGAACACCCGTGACCATTCAGTATATCCCTTCAACATATATGTTAAAGGATTTGATTAGTGATAGTGATTGATAAGAAAAATGTTTTGTTATGCGCACAAATTGTACGCGATAATTATACATCTCATTTATATTTTAGATCACATGTATATCTGACTGATATACATCTGATGATTTAGTCCTAGATTTATTTAGTTCAAATTTTATTTTTATTTAGTTCAAAACCTAAGTACAAACCCGGTGGCCCAAGGGGTCATAGTCTGAGTGACTGCATCAGCAATACATGATTAAATAACGTTCCGATAGATCAAGCTTCTAAATCTGGCATTGTGCAGATCTAAATGTCACTGTTGAACAATTTTACAGTAGATCAAGCTTTTCAACCCGGCATCGTGCAGGCACAAATCTCTGCTGTTTAATAATGTTGTGGCAGATCAAGCTTCTGAACCTAGAAATTGTGCATAAATGAATTTCTATCGAATAATGTTGTGGCAGATGTTTAGAAATAAACCTGACAAAGTTTAGAAATAAACCTGGCAAAGTTTAGAAATAAACCTGGCAATGTTTAGAAATAAACCTGGTAATGTTTAGAAATAAATGCCTTGTTTATATAATACAAAATTGTGTTATGATATGCTAACTATCACATTGCACAGGATTTAAGTCAGCTTACAAATTGGACAATAATGCTTTGCTCGATTAAAATACTCATAGTAGAGATTTTTCGCAAACTTAATTTCTTGTTCATTTCCTCATAATCTCCTGGAATTTACATGATAATCAGACATTTAGAATGCAAAATAATTGGCCTCGGGGCCAAGAAGCCTAAGCTTGATCAATTGTTCAAAGACTGCGTCGAAGTGCCCAAAATGTTTCGGTACGTTTGATAGTACACTTTTATCTATGTTATAATTTCTCTTATTTATTTATTACGTATACACCATATGTTAATGTATTAGAATTCTTCGGTATCTAATATATAATAAAAATATTTTTGTCATCGAAACCGTGGATATTTTAAACCCAAAGTAGCGAAGTCTGCGACATCTACATAGATAGAAGCCCAAACTTCTATCACTTTTCTATCCCAAACTTTTTACACACTTTTTGGATGGCAAAGAAATAATGCCCATTCTGTAATTCAAAAATAATGATTTGAACGATCAAGATAGTCACCTCTGCATTCAGCAGAAAGGAAGTCTATGCTGGTAATTTAAAACAATATTTATAAAGAGTGAGATACTCACCCTTGCATTGTGCAGAAATAAAATCTTTGCTGGTAATTTAAAACAATATTTATAAAGAACATAATACTCACCCTTGTATTGTGCAGAAATAAAATCTTTGCTGGTAATTTAAAACAATATTTATAAAGAACATAATACTCACCCTTGTATTGTGCAGAAATAAAATCTTTGCGGGTAATTTAAAACAATATTTATAAAGATCATAATACTCACCCTTGCATTGTGCAGAAATAAAATCTTTGCTGTAGAAAGAAATCTTTATTAATGTTGAGGTTAGGAAATTAGGATAGGAAAGAAATTCTTCATGATAATTTCAATAATATCCATTAGGATATTATTGAAATTATCATGAAGAATTTCTTTCCTATCCTAATTTTTTGTTTGGATGAAAATCTGAACTCTTGAGGTAACTAGCGGAACACAATGATTATCTAGAGGTTAAATGTGGAAAAATCCCGTTAATTTTGAGTTTAATGGAACCCTACATGTATTGTGCAAACGTACGCGTATTGAGCAAATAAATCTGAAGGGATTGGCTGGATATAATGGCTGAAGGATTGGCTGGATATGAAGGTCAAGTTACGCTTACATTAAAAAAGATTCACTTGTTAGCAAAGGCAACAAATCAGCAGCAATACCATGAACAATGATACGATAAATCAATGATACGATAAATCAATGCAAACCATACGCTGAAGAATTATTCGATGCAATATGATGAATGTTGCGACACCATACGGTGAGCAGTGGGATTGTAAATGATGCGATGCAATACGAAGATAAATGACGCGATGCAATACAATAAATGTTACGATTCCATACGGTGAGTAAGGCGGTAATAAATGACGCCATGCAATACAATAAATGTTACGATACCGTACGGTGAGTGAGGCGGTAATAAATGACGCCATGCAATACAATAAATGTTACGATACCGTACGGTGAGTGAGGCGGTAATAAATGACGCGATGAAATACGATGAATAATGATGTGTTTCAATACGATGAATAATGATGTGATGCAATCCGATGAATAATGATGTGATGCAATACGATGAGCAGGGCAAGCAAGAACGTCAAATAAAGGTCACCGATACTCGTGGCTAGACTTCTTTTATGGAAATTCCTACATTTTAAAATATTCGACCCATCTCGAACATCCGTCACCATTCAGTAATAACCTTTCATCATGTGATAACGTTATAGAAATTCAATTGTGATAGTGATTAATTAGAAAAGTGCAATATTATGTGCATAAATTTAACACGTACATTTTATGACTGCGCAACTAACACATCTGATATTTTTATTTGGTTTAAAATCTACGTACAAACCCGGTGGCCCATGTGGTCATTGTCTGAGTGACTGCATCGTACCATCAGAAATACATTGCTAAATAACGTTCCGATAGATCAAGCTCCGAATTCTGGCATTTTGCAGATATAAATATCACTTAAGGCAGATCAAACTTCTCAACCTAGCATTGTGCAGACATAAATATCTGTTTCTGAATAATGTTACGACAGATATCAAGATTCTGAACCTGAAATTATGCATAAATAAGTTTCTGTTGAATAATGTTGTGGCAGATCATGCTTCTCAACCTGGCAATGGATAGAAATAAATGATTTGCTTAACGATGCAAAACTGAGTCATTATATACTAAGTATTGCATTGCACAGAAATGAAGTCAATTAATGATTTTGAAATAATACTGATTTTGAAATGAAGTACCCGGCTAGACATTGTACAATAATGCTGTGCTAGATCAAAATACGCACAGTAGAGATTTTTCGCGAACTTCATTTGTTGTTTATTTTGTCATAAGATCCTGTAATTTACATGATAATCAGAACTTAAGGACGGCAAAGTAACCGGCCTTGGAGAAAAGGAAAGTATTGTGGGTGTCTAAGTACTCATTATATTTCGGTATGTTTGCTTTTATCTCTCACTTTTATCCCATGTTCTAATTAATTGGGTTATTTGTTTGTTACGTTTGGACCATATGTAATATATTAGAATTCATCGGTAGTATGTTTATTTATTCATGGTTCTTTCAGATGCATATTTCCATATAATAAAGCTGTGCTCATTATCGAAACCTTGGATATTTTAAACGCAAAGTATCTAAGTCTACGACATTTTGCCAGAACGCCATAGCATTTTTACTAACTCTTTGGATTTAAAAAGAAATAAAGCACATTCCGGTAATTCAAAAGTAGTTTTTAAACGATCAAGATACTCACCCTTGCATTGTGCAGAAATAAAATCTTTACTGGTAATTTAAAACATTATTTATAAAGATCAAGATACTCACCCTTGCATTGTGCATAAATCTTTGCTGATAATTTAAAACAATATTTATAAAGATCAAGATACTCACCCTTGCATTGTGCAGAAATAAAATCTTTGCTGATAATTTAAAACGATATTTATGAAGATCAAGATACTCACCCTTGAATTGGTCAGAAATAAAATCTTTGCTAGTAATTTAAAACAATATTTATAAAGATCAAGATACTCACCCTTGCATTGTGCAGAAATAAATGGCAGATGTTTTATTCCTCGTGAAGGTGACGATGGCCCTGAGGAGTCCAAGTTTCCCCACCATCCCGTGGGGCGGGGCCCCTCGCAAAACTGATATTTTCTTGCAGAATTTAAATTAAATATTCTCGCTTCTTTTTGCGGTAGGAGGTTTTTTGATAAGAATTAAAGCGAAACTTAGTGGGCACAGGTCTTATGTTAATTTTCAAAACTTCTACGACAGACGAAATAGAATGCTTATAATAATAAAATTTTTTGGAAAAAAAAATTCGGGGGGCTTCAAATTGTTTCTATCACCAAATTTATCTTATGTCCAGAAAAATATTGTCTCGATATCCGCGTTCAAATGAAAAAATTTTCAAATCCCTTTAACACATTTTCGTTCTTTAACTCACACGAGCCTTTTGAATATTCATCAAATAAAATATTTATTATTTTGAAGAGAATACTAAGAGATTTGAACAAAAATGAGTAAATGAGATTTATAGAAAACACATCGAATATTTTCCGGGTCCATGTGAGTCATTATAAAACTTATTTATTTGAAACTTTCTTTCATTGTCCCTTACCCAGCGCCAACACTCATCATAACGGGACCATACCCCGTCTCAAGTTAGCTGTTGAAAACAATAAACAGTAATTTCATTTTCATATAGAGCTAACAATTCGCGATGTCGATAACGGAAAATTTTACTGCAATTAACAATGAAGTTGTAATCAATCGCGCATATTATTCTGGATTTTAAATTAGGTTTTAACTCAGGACCGAAGCATTCCGGATAATTTTTTTAGGGTGACTTTTCTATTAAATTTTCCTTGCGGTCTCAAGAAAGCAGGTAGAATAATGTCGTCTGGACTGCCAGGAGGTCAGTTCAGCCGCAGGGAGCCTTACCCTCAGCCCGGGAAACTTTCTTGGCAAAGAACTTCATGTACCCCACGGTGGCACATTCTTCTTGGGCAGAGGTACTTATTTTTGCAATGATTGTTCCCAACTGTACGGCGTACGAACTTCGACTAAAAACGGATCGTTTATAAGGAGTTGCACGTTTATAAAATTTTCTGAAAGATAATCATCGGCTACTTTGTTACGAGCTTTATTGGAAAATAATTCACTGCAGTTGATGTTCAGCAAATATCTCTCATTAAAATATGTTTTTATCAATAATTTTTTTACAATTTTAAACACTGCTGTAATCATCGATAATTTTTAGCCAGAATTTTAGTTCTAATAATCCACTTAGAATTACTGAATTATCTTTAATATATTGTTGTCTACATTTTATTTACTAGATCATGTAAATTATTTTTTACGAACAAACGAAATCGATTCACTAGCTCACTTTTCCGGATAATTCCTGGTCAGACATACAAGCTAACATATCTACTGCTCGATCAGAAGCTCTAAAAAGGACGATGGTTAGAGAAAACCGTCGCTGAAATGGCTGCCCGTGGAATGAGCAAATTAGTTTTACTAACTACTGATTAGCATTTGAGACGGTAATAGAGAAACGCATTAACCAGATCGCCGAAGGCTAATGCTGAAGAAGCTCAGGATCAAATTTAAATGCAGAATTGATTGACTGCCAAGAACGAGAAATAAAATTGCAGGTTCATGGCAAAGACATGATGGTTTTTTTGAGATATCACATGATTAGAATGAAATTGAAACTCGAAAAATTGACAATCAAAACCAAAACGAAAGATAGCGAAACCCCATATTGCGGTTGCCTACAGCCTCACTGTAATAGAATAAATGTGAGCCCCAATCGACGCTGTNTTGCCTACAGCCTCACTGTAATAGAATACATGTGAGCCCCAATCGACGCTGTATATTGACTTATTATTATGACTTATTTTGCGGGCAAATTTTTTACTGTAAATTCCGACCAAATATAAAAAATTTATTGTTGAGGTCAGTTTTACCGTACAATGCAACTTCTAATAGGAGTTCATAACAAGCGATGGCTTATTACAACTGATGGCAGGTGAGCTCGTGCATTTCAACTTATAATCGCTGCTCAGTACAACTGATGGCAGGTGAGCCCGTGCATTCCAACTTATAATCGCTGCTCAGCACAACTGATGGCAGGTGAGCTATGGCAGGTGAGCTCGTGCATTCCAACTTATAATCGCTGCTCATCACAACTGATGGCAGGTGAGCCCGTGCATTCCAACTTATAATCGCTGCTCAGTACAACTGATGGCAGGTGAGCCCGTGCATTCCAACTTATAATAGCTGCTCAGTACAACTGATGGTAAGTGATGCAAAACTACGCACGAGTTCTGAAACTCGGATGATGCTCGTGATATATCACGCCATACGTGCCTATAGAGAGCACAACTTCCTTTGTCATCTTCAATGCCTAACTTTTGGAAGAAAGTTAAATGCCGAAATTAACTCGAAACGAGATGCTTTCTATTTATATGTTCGACTCAATACAATAAAATTCATGCAAGTTTTCTAGATATTAGCATAGATGGATATAAATTAGAATTTCTATGATTTAAAAAGACGTTGCTGTATTGTTTTTGAAAATTAATTGCGTCTACCCTATGAATAAAAATAAATGTAATTTTTAATGGTAACTGTCAAAAGATAGCAATGTCTTTAATTCTAGCAAGTACTCATACATAAATTATTGAAATTTTCAACATAATAGTTCACCAGCTTAAAATTAGAGAATAATTTGGCTGGAATGCTTCAATGCTAACTTCATTTTTTTTATTACCCTGAAAGGGTAATAACGAATTCGTTTTTACCCAATTCGTTATTACCTTCGTTATTACCTTCAATTCTTTATTATCCACTTCGTTATTACCCCAGCGTAAACTTCGTTATTACCCTGAAAGTTGACGTTTAGGGTAATATTCAGCTACGCTGTTCTTCTTTTAATCGTTTATCAATGGCTGACGATGGTCGTGTTAAGAGCCCATTGCTCATAACGAAACAGTTGACGGCAATAGCAGGTTCGGTATCGATGTTGTTTGGAGTGAGACTTTGGTATCTCACTCTGACATGCAATGCTTTACAAATCTTCAGATACGACGTTTAAAATGACGTTTGAATTTTAGTATGAGTTAATATATAATTTTTGATGCCCATATAATATTTTTTTAGTCTCGTTTGTTGCTAGCAGAAAAATGCTATGATGTGCTCACTCTTTCAGGGGAAGATTATTAAAAATATTTGTAATTTATCCAGTCATTAATTGCAGTTTAGCTTGATGAATCAGCCATTATAAATAAGATTCCAGAATTTATGACTTTTTATGACGACCAGAAAGCAATTTTTTGAATGAAGCTTAATTCATGCTTCAACATGAAAATATATTCGCCTTCCATGCAAGAATTTTTCTTTCGTCTCGGATAATTCTCAATTAAAACAGATCTCTATCCCAATTACCTACCAAAACAGAGCACAAAACTCGACTTTAATTGACTCTTAATAGAATATGTAATCAGGATTTATTAACAATATTAAAAGCATAATTTATTCGCCTTCGTATTTATCAGTCTAACGTCAGTGACGATAATCGTCGCCTGCGACACCTCAACACCGATTACCGCCTTCCGGTCGAACATCCCCTGGACCAAAAAACTTTATCTTTTGTTAAGATGTATTCAATATAAAGTTCATATGTGAATTATGAACTTTCAGGTGGTAACGCATATCAACACAACTTATACAAAATTTGTAGCCTTAGATCTAGTTCTGTTTCGGTAATATGTTTTTTGATTTGCTGCACTCTGAAGAATACGCGCATGTGAGCAGTGCTGGCACATCCTCACTCTGTCACTGCCGCTGGCGCACTGACATCTTGGGGCTACTTGAACCTTCACGTCTGAGTAATTTCATTATTTAAAAGCATCCGACACTAGAACTGGGATTTTTGCAGGTTTGAGCTCGTTATGAGCCGCGGCATGGAATTAACTTTCTTTGAAGGTGTATGATTGCTGAGCTTAAAAGATGCCTGATTGGTGAGCTTGAGATGTGTCTGATTGCTGAGCTAGAGAGGTGTCTGATTGCTGAGCTTGTGAGGTGCCAGATTGCCGAGTAAGAAGTTACCTGATTGCTGAGCTAGAAAGATGCCTGATTGCTGAACTAGAGATGTACACTTACACTACTTATTCACCATGATAATAATAAGTTTCTGCTTCTTTTTATGTGATTATCAATTTAATCTATTTATTGACTAAAAAGTTCGCAGGGGAAAGATCTTATTAGAGTTACTTAAATAATGGTTTAAAATGCCGTAGACTTTTCCAGAATTTGATTATTCCTGAGAAAATTGCAAGTATGGTAAACTGCACTATATATTTTTTCTAATATATGTATCGCTTGAAGCAACTAACTTGTCGTTTATGATACCGAAATAGTCAGCATTACTAATTTAAAATAACAATTTAATTTAATATCAACGAAATAGTCAGCATTATTAATTTAAAATAACAATTTAATTTAATATAAAATTTAATATTATTTACTCACCGAGACATAGAGTTTCTTCTGACGACGTATGCCAGCGCAGCCATGAGCCCGAACAGCAGCAGCAAGGGAGCCACCACAGCCTGACGCGGTGAAGGGAAATTTAATCCAGCTAAGTACAGAACGCCTGCACCGAATCTAAATTTATTCAGTGCAATTAGATTTATTTAAAGGATATTTCAGTCTCAAATGATTTGATTTTCAAATCAAATTATTTTTTATACGCGAAAAACGCCATTTTGAAAAAATTTAAAGATTTTATCAACCTTTTTCGAAATGGAATTTTTATGGAACTCAATTTTTTGGAACATCTTTGATAATTATGAAAATTAAATCATGCTCTTACACTACCTGAACGACTAAGAAGCATTAATTTGTTATTCTAAGCTGGAATGCAGAGAAATAAATAACTCACGTTATGGTGGTCGTTCCGAGAGTCCGGCAATTGAAGAGAAGATTGTTGGGGATGGATTGCTGGAAGATTGCGGAACTCAGGTACAGCGACATTAGCACTGTTTTTTAATAAAACTAGATCTTCTTTCCCGCCCTCAACCGACAGTTGATGCTTCACCGCACGACGACCACGGGTTTCATGTATTGTTTGACTATTGTTATTTTGATT